ATTCTACTAATTCTGGACATCACTCCAAAATTTCCCCTGAATCCTTGGACCACACGTGTGATTTCCCTAATCAGAATTAACTGTGGCATCATCATTGCTACCACAAAATACTTAATACCTGCTATGGATGCTTGAATGTATGGATATAAAACTATATATCAGCAGCCTCTGATATAATTATGGAAGCTACACAGACCAGCACAAGTTTATGTAAGGTATCAAATTAACAATATAGGTTGCTAAAGCCAGAAAAATTCTATGGAAGATGTAGTCACAAGTTAGAGGAAGGGGACATGTGGGCGGAGACGCAAGGGAGGAAAGTATTCTATAGAGAGAGTAGTAGCGTGAACAAAGATCAGAAAACCTCATGGAATTTATAGGAAACTTGGGGAGGCCAAGCTGGTGAATGTGAGGGGATGATAGGCCTTGTAGACAAATAGAACAGGCAGGGCAGAAGGCAGTTGCCTAGTGTGTTTGGGGAAAAGTAACAAATGACTATTAGTCTCAATCATGGTGTGTGAAAGAGTGCCAGAAGAGGGAGTAGACAATTTAAATGTTCATGAGGAGCCACCAAAGACTTTGGGATAACTAACAGAGGCCATCAGTATGGTGTGTTAGGACTCTGAGGGCAAGATTCTGCATGCTAACATAGCCATGGGCAAATTAGAAATGCTAAATCATGCTCATAGATGAGCTATATGGTATTTGTTGGTGAGGAAAGTGATCCTTGGGAAAGAGCTAAGATGGCACTAAGGAGTATCTTGATAGAAATAGGAAATGCCACATTCCTTATTTATTCTCATGCCCATTCTGCCAGCAGGTGATAAGGAGAGCAAAAGCTTGTCGGTTGAGGGCTGGGGTTGTAGCTCAGTGGTAGAGCACTTGCCTGGCATGGGTGAAGCACAGGGTTCAATTCTTACCACTGCATATATATAAATAAAGATCCATTGACAACTAAAAAAAAAAAAAAAAAAACTTGTGGGGCTGGGGTTGTGGCTTGGTTGTAGAGCCCTTGCCTGGCTTGTGTGGGGCACTGGGTTCAATCCTCAGCACCACATAAATAAATAAAATGAAGGAAATGGGTCCATCTATAATTAAAAAAAAACATTTTTTAAAAAAAGGCTGTGGTAGAATATGCACAATCATAATAATACTAATTATATCCATACTTTTAAAATAATGACAGAAAGAACAATTCACAATATTGTGTGTATACAATGTGCCATACATGATGCTACATGTTTTCTTCGGATGGAATATTGGCTATTAATGTACTGCAGTGCTAGCATATACAATAGCAACTGATACCCCAAACACCTTTAGGAAATCTCTACTGTCCTGATGAAGCCAGATTTAAAGATAGGTAGTTAGTATAGTTAGGTAAATCCAGGTCTATAACGAGTACAATGAAAAAAAAAAAAATGGAGACCATTATCAAGAATGGAGTCCAGGAAACCAGAACACCTAGGGAAATTGAAATGTTAATGTCCCCAAGGCTTGGAACCCATCCTAAAGAACTGTTAATGAAGTAGCTCCCAGCTAAGAGGGAGGTGCTGATCAAACCACTCCACGCCCTTCCTGCCCAGATTACTCCTCCCAGCCCCAACCACCCACCTATTTCCCACCTTTTGGCCTTCCCACCTGCATTCTATCTCTGCAGGAGAGAGGGAAACAAAGGACAGGAATGTGGGAGGACTAAAAGAAGACCTTAGATATAAAAAAGGGAAGACCTCCCCTTTCCACAGATTCCACCTTTTGGGTCACCTTCTTCCTCTGGGAGGAAGTCTTTTCTGCTGTCCTTTAATAAAGCCTTCCACTTTCCACTCTAAACTTGCCTGGGCGTGCTTCTCTGGTGTTATATTTCAGCGTTTGGGGAAGCAAGGACTCCTCACCAGGGCGGTTACACTGATCATCCACTCTCCTACAACCACTCACCCCACTCTGCCATGTCCACTGCCCCAGGAACTAAAAACACAGAAAGGGGCTTCTAGGACCCCTCTCCAATATTATGATCTGTGCTTGTTCTGATTGGTCAACAACCTCATTCAATATTTTGAAAATTGCCCCTGTGTTTCATGAATTAGGCAACTTAATTTTTACACTAGTTTTGTATTCTAGAAGAGGAGACAAAGGCTCAAAGAGGTGGAGACTTGACCTAGGTCAGAGCTCCTGAATAGCCAAGCACAAATTCTGTCTGACAGAAGGGCAGATTTTATGCTGGAGATTTGGGGGACCTACAGCTAAACAGACTGGCCACACCAAATAAATCAACAGGGGAAATATGATTTCCAGAAACTTCCTGTTTTACTGGGTCAGAGAAATCTGTTAAGAATGTCAGGCCCCTTAGTCCACAATCCACACAAAATGCTAAGCAAAATGCTGAGTTTATGCAGAGGGTAACATTTCCTTCAGTGGTGACATTTAGAGTGGACTGTTACATCTTCTTCTAGCAAATACTCAAACTCTTTTCTTCCATCCTTAAATTTAACTGATCCCATCCCAGATGCTATGGTTATTTGCCTCTAGCTTCCAAAACAAAAGTAAACAGCAAGGCCATCTGTTACAGACCGCCCTGTGAGAAGGTCAGCCTCCCCCATTGTCTCTGCACTCCAAGTTAAAAGTTAACAGAACACAAAGAGGTTTATTTAGCCTGAACTCCTGAGCTGCTGCAGGTCAGGTTGTAAAAGGAGAGTCAGAAAACAGGACTCTATTGCCGTAATGTATGACTAAGAATGTAGCCAAGAAGTTAGGAAAAGAACAGCAAAACCCTAAGGAAAATGAAAAAGGCTTAATGTGGGAAAGAAAAAAAAAAAGCAGAAAATGAGGAATTAGAAGCCAAATCCAATAGCAGCTTATACAGAGAAAAATGGGTAAATAAGGAGACAAAGTTCATTGTTTCAATAGGTCAATATGGAAATTTTTCAATAGGCCAAATGAATATTTTTTTTTTTTAATTATGTATTTATTTATTTATTTATTTTTTTAGTTTTCGGCAGGCACAACATCTTTGTTTGTATGTGGTGCTGAGGATCGAACCTGGGCCGCACGCATGCCAGGCGAGCGCGCTACCGCTTGAGCCACATCCCCAGCCCCCCAAATGAATATTTCAAAGGACCCCAAAGCCAAGGAGAAAAATGCAGCATTCGTTCTTGTTTTTTTTCAGATAGATGATAATATATACGCATGGAGAAATATCCAAAAGGATATTCATCAAAATGCTAACAGTATTTATCTCTGGGTGACAGAACTTGGAGCAATTTTTCTTTCTTCTTTATATTTCTCTATATTTCTCGAATTGTTTACAATGAGCATTTATCATTTTTATGGTCAGTATGAAAACTCTAAAACTATTTTCATTTTTCTAACTGTCTCAAATGTGATTGAATATGAAATATGACCAATACATAAAAATGTAAACAAATCATAGTTGTATTTGCTTTATAAGAATATAAGCATCACATGTTTAGTATCACAATGGATAATAAAAAAAGAAATCTTATGAAATTACCTACTACTCTCCTATAAGATAATGCCTTTTATGGTTGAGGTATTCAGTATCCCCCAAAAGCTCATGTATGAGATAATGCAAGAAAGTTTAGAGGTGATTGGGTTATGAGAGCCTTAAACTGATCAATGCATTAATCCACCATGGGAATTAGCTGGGTGGTAACTGTAGGCAGGTTGGGTGTGGCTGGAAGATGCCGGCAGGCTGCTGGGGGCGTGCCTTTGGAGTATAGATTTTGCTCTGGATCAGTAGGAATCCTGTCTCTTCATTTTTATATTCATATTGCTTATCATGATATATGTATTTTGAATAAACAAATGATACAAACATACTTTTGCAAAAAGCTCTCAGGTCAATTTGACCAATGATAAAACAATGTGTTCTTGCATTAAGTTATTGTTATGAAAAAGTGATCCTGGTAATACCTTCAGTATACAGCATGGGTTAAAAAAAAAAAATTGCAAAACTGATGAGGAGAAAAGCCAGCTTGATTCCCAGAACCTCAGTTTTCAAGAGTTGTCAGGTGGAGATGCTGGGAGGGGACGGAAGGTGGGATCAAGGACCATGGTCCCAACAAAGCCCAAGGAAGCACAGTCAGAAGTGAGTTCTGACTGGGAGCCTGAACAAAGTTCTCTAGTTTCAGTTCAGGCGTTGCAAACTGGCAATCCTGGAACTGAATTTGGCCCATAGAAATATGTTGTTTGGTCTGCACTCTGTTTCTTTAAAACTCTTTTAGAACTTTGCATTTGAATGTCATGTGCTGGGAATAATACTGGCTGCAGCAGGGACTTCTCAAAGTGCTTTGCATATTTGAATCCATTAATGTGCTAGAGAACATTTGTTGAGTGCTTACAATATGCCAAGCACTATTTCAAGCACTTTGTGTGTATTAAATCACAAAAGGCTTTAACAACCCTACCTCCATGTTACCTATGGGAAAACTGAAGCAGAAAGAATTGAATAATTTATCTGACTGAAGTCCTGTAGCTAGTAAATAGCAAAGTCAGGATTTAAATGTGGGCCATCTGAGCCCCATGTTTGGCCAGTTAGACACAGTGCTGCAGTTGCCTCCCCAGCTCTGTCTTACACTTAACCAAATCTACACTTGGATATTTCTGACTCAGTCCTTGTCAGTTTTGAGGTACATGAGCTGGTGTTAGCAGAGTCACTAAGTTATTGTTCCAAGAATGACATGTCCATCTTCTGTTAGGTTTGAGCAATCTCCTTCCAGTGAGCAGGTAAGAGGTCCTCCCTATAGTAAGCAGAACTCCACGTGTACATGGCTGGGGGTCAGGGCAGTAGAGGCAGAGTCACCTGTCATTGACCTCTGACACCTTACAGTTCTCAGAGACTCACCTTCCTAATGGACGCTCAAAATACATTAAACCTTGCACAAGCAACAACAACAACAAAATGGGGCTTCATCAAAATTTAAAGTTTTGTGTATTAATAGATATTATCAAGGTTGGGGATGTGGTTCCATGGTACAGCACTTGTCAGATTGCTCAATGCCCTGAGTTTGATCTCCAGCACAGCCTAAAAATAAAAAAATAAATAAATAAAAATAAAATTTAAAAAGACACTATCACAGAATAGAAGAAAATATTTACAAATTCTATATCTGATATGGTATTAATAGAAAAAATGCATAAAGAACTTCTATAGTTCAACAACATTAAAACAACAACCCAACTTTAAATGAGCAAAAGACGTACAGACATTTCTCTGAAGGAGATATGTGAATCACCAACAAGTATAGGAAAAGATGCTCTCAACATCACTAGTAATTGGGGAAACACCAATCAGAACCACAGGGAGATCCCATTTCATACCCACTAAGATGGGTATCATCAAAAATCTAGAAACTAAGAGGAATATAAGAGGAAGTTGGAAACCTTGTGCATTGCAGGTAGGAATGTAAAATGGTACAGTGGTGGGAAAGAATTTGGCGATTCCTCAAATTGTTAAAGTTACATGACTATATGATCCATGAATTCCACTTCTTGGCACATGTACATCCAAAAGAATTGAGAGCAGGGATTCAAACAGATACTTGTATACTAATGTGTGTAGGAACATTATTCTCAATGGCTAAAAGGTAGACACAATGCAAATGTCTATCATCAACAGATTCGTGGAAAAACAAAATGTGATATGATCAAGGACTATTCAGCCTTCAAAAGAATGAAATTCTGAAACATGCTTACTATAACATGGAGGAACCTTGAAAACATTGTGCTAGTGAAGTAAACCAAACACAAAAAGACAAATATTGCGTGATTCCACTTACATGAGGTACTCAGAATAGTCAAAATTATAGAGAAAAGAAAATAAACAGGTATCCAGTGACTAGGGGCTGCAAAAATGAGGAGTTGGCATTCAATGGGTTCAGAATGTGTTTGGGATGATAAAAAAAAAACTCTGGAAATTATAATAATGGTTGTGTAACATTGTAAATACACTTAATGCTGCTGAACTGTATACTTAAAAATGATTTAAATTATAAATTTTGAGTTTTATATATTTTACTATAATAAAAAAATGCTTTTAACAGGTAATAAAAGTTATACAGAAAACTAGATCCTTGCTCATTCAAAATCAAATAAGCAGGAAAAGTGTTAAGAGGATAGGAAGAAAAGAATCTATCGAGTTATCTAAAAAGATAAAGAAAAAAAATAGGCAGAAAATGGCCAGAAAAAAAAAAAATGGCCTAGCTGCAGAAGACCATACAAAACTTTTTTAAAAATTTTTATTTATTTTTTTGAGGTGATTATTTCTTTTTTTAAATTTATTTATTTTGCATTACAATTCTTAATACACCATTATACAATAATTTATCATATCTCTGATCAAAACTTTTTTTAAAAGAAGCAAATGCTTTCTTAAGAACTTTCAGAAAGAATTAAATGTAATAATGCTCACCAATTAGACATATGTTCACAAAGACATGTGCTTAGACAATAAAATAAATGTCCAAAATCTCAGCTACTAAACAGTGTAGTGAAGTTAAAATGTCTTCACTTCATGTGAGTCTGACTGAAGAGTAGTGCCCCCAAATTTAATTATAACAAAATTTTATCAAGGTACCTAGAACATTCCTTGGAGCTCTCAATCCTTTTTGAAGAAATTACACAAAAATTTTGAAATATTAAGTCTACCATTTAATTGTCCATTAGAGACTACCATAATCTAAATAAAATGAGTTGCAAAGTCCATTATTAGAAAATAACATCATGGAGTTATAAATAGCTCTGTAGCCTCTGTATCTTTATTCTCCCAAACCTTCTTGATTCATATTAGGTTAATGGGGGCTGGGGGAGTCATAACACCATAGGAATATTGGTTTTTTAGAAAGGAAATAAAATTTAATTCTAGAATGTGCCATTAAGTTACTGAGTGACCTTGGGCATGTCACTCAACCTCTCTGAGTACCAATTTCCTGCTATGAAGTAAAGAGATTGTGCAAAATAACCTCTGAAGTCTCTTTAACACACTGTGTCACATTGTATTCTGTCTTCTCTTTAATCTTTTTGCTTCTCTTTACCAAATATGTCTGTGTTCAAATTGAAAGATGTGGTTTCATAAACCTCCTGCAACTATGATTTTCATTCAATCTCTCCAAACTTATTCTCTTCTTATATCTCAACTACCCACACCCTAGAATGATTAAAGAAACTCTCATCCCTCCCTTTTGTTTATTTGTGCATATCACTTTGGTCCAGAAAAAAGTGTCTAATTTCACTTCTTAAAAAATGTAAAATTCTCTTGTGCATATACTGTGCATAATCTTATTTTAAGACCAAATTTTTTTCAAAAAAAAAATGCTTAACAATGTTTACTGTTTTTTTTTCCTCTCCATTAAAGCAGGAGTGACATATGCATTAAGAAAAAAGGATGGTAAGCGAATGCAGACAGTATGTGGATGAGTTCCAGCCAACTGCCACCCTTCCTCTCCTGGCTTGATGGCTGATCACCAAAATGCATTCCAGAGCTGTTCTCTCTCCTCATACATCTCATTTGAGAATGAATTCATTTCTGTTTTAAGTCATCCCATTTGGGAAAACCTAGATCCCATCAACAACAGCTTGAGAACAGAATCGAGAGGAGTAGAAAGGCAAGAAAGAAGTCCTAAAAATTTAAATAATCTTTCTTCAGTATAAATCTAAAAAGAAAGCTCTGTTTTTCAGTGTACCATCAGTCTATGCAAGGAAGATTCTATTCTTTTCTGTATCAGGTAATCAGACAATTTAATAACGTTAGTTCATCTGTAGTCAGGAAGGTGACTTCCAAACTCCACTGTTGGCATCTTTTCATTGGCACGACCACAGATCCTGGCCAGGTTGTTGGTGCAGAGGACTGACATGCATCTGCAGACCTGCCAAGTCTAGCTGGACTCTTCTTAAGATAGATGAGATTTGTGTTTTGCAGAATTTTAAAAATAGGAAGACCCCGGGTTTTAATGGGTCTCCATTATACCAGCATATATACTTGATATGAAATTTCTCAAGTTTAAATTCTAATAACATTTTACACAATGAATATGCAAAGCCAGATCTATGGAAAACCATATGTGAACCAATCAGGGCCAGAGCCAAAGTGGGATCCAAGAGCCAAAATTAAATCCCACTAATGTGATTCACTCATGTATTCGTCAAATACATAAGTGAGCAGCATCTCTTAGCAACTATTCTAGGCACTGTGAAGGATCTCTAAAACTTACCATGATCACACTGCACAGCAGAGTGTGGAAAAGTGCTGCTGGAGAGACCTAAAGATGCTGGTTACCTGAAGAAGAGAAGGGAGGTCATAGCTTCTTTCAGTTCCCAGTAGGGTCAGGTCTTTGACCCAAAGACAGACAAATGAAGCCACTGGTATGTTCCCAGAGTGATGACAACATGGATGTGTGGCTGGAAGGGAATGCTCAGCTTCCCTCAGGGCAGACAGGACCTCTGGTCAGGAGCCAGCCCCTCACCTGTGCAGCCCCCATCCACCACAGAGTCCCAGAAGCTGGAAGAAGAGAAAGCTCAGAGAGCCATCACCAGAACAGAGATCAGTAGAAAGACAAGAAAGAAATCTTACAAATGAAAGCAATCTTTCCTCAGCCCACGTCAGGAAGGGATGATGTGGATCTCAAGAGCCCTTTCCATCCAAGGAGCATAGAGAAGGTGAAGTGCAAACAAAAAGGAAGAGGAGCCAGGCTCTCTAATGGGGAGGAGAAGAAGAATACCTAAGGGAGCCCACCTTCCAGACAATTCTGGTTTGAACTGTGGGAAAAGATATGCACAGAAGGGAGAAGCACAGCTCAAGTTGCTGGTGATTGACCAATCTTGGTCAAATTTCCTAAGGAGCTGATGACAGGAAGTGGTTTCTCACGTAAGCATAATTGAGTACACAGACTCGCTTTATCTTCCAAGACAGAAAAATAAAATAAAATAAAAAAAACCCTCAGTCTAAAACCAAAGCAAGACCAGGCAGCTGCCTCACAGAGAGCCCACAGGAGAAAGATGTTTCAACAGGAAGACAGAAGTGGCCAGAAAATCCAACTCCTGCAATTTTGAGTACAGAAGTCTCAAGACTCCAAGAAAGGAAGATTTTAAAAAGTGGGGAGTGGAAGGACAGCAGCTGCCTGGAGTGTGAACAGGAAGACAGCACAGAGAAGCCAGAAGCAGAAGGCCAGGGCCTCCTGGATGCTGGGCACAAGTAACACTGAAAGTGTTTCAAAGCTTCAAAACACCCTGGGATTACAGACTCAAAGTAGGAGCCCAGGCCCCCAGGGAACCTGAAATGCTCAACTAATGCCAGCAAATAAATCCGTGACTGTCGTGTATAGGAAAGCAGATGATGTTCAGTCCCCATGGGACACAACCCATGCACTGATGTTAACTTCTGTCCAGTCCCTTCAACCCCTGGGTTTCTAGTAAAATCATCCAAAATCCTTGTCAATGCAAAATTCTCAGCAAGTTAAAAATGTGACTTGTACCATTATGAAATTAACCTATGTCAAAAGCGTTATTCAGTTCATTAATTAATGACAGAACCAACAAGCCAATAAGGCTCGTTCACTGAGTGTTTTGAAGTTTAGGTCTTCTTAAGCATTCGGAACAATGTTAGAATGAGAATGCTGGGTCACATGCAAAACTGGATAATGAGTAGAGCAATAGGCCATCACCTTTGTGCTCTCTTTTCTACTAACCAGAAGTGATTTGGAAAATCTACATGTTAATAGTAACTTTACATAGTCTGGAAACTAATTAATAGTAATGAGCTGTTGAACAAACTTTATTCTCCTGCTTGGATTATTAAGTGCTCATTGGACAGGCCTGCTAAAGTATGCCCCATTTGACTTTTTGGGGTGTTGGAGATCAGACTCGGGGCCTTGCTCATGTTAAGCACATGCTCTACCATAAGTTATATCCCCAGCCTTCCTTACATGAAATTAAAATAACACTTTACCCATCTTTGTGTCTTATTTCCGAGTTTTAAATAATTTTTCTTAACTCCTTGATGCATAATTTAGTAATAGGTGTTGGAAATTTTTCATTTATGACACACACTGGAGGAATACCTCTCCTAATTTTTTGAGAACTGGATTGTCCATACAGACTGTTGATGCTGGCCTTGACCTGTGTTGCTAGAGGAATTGTGTGGGAGGAAAAAGAAGAAATTCCTGATTAGAAAAATCACACAGATGGCAGCAGCGAACAACTAACCCTGCTGGTCTCAACCATCTGCCAGCCTGCCAGACCTTGCTGACCATATCACACTGAAGTTTGGCACTCACCTCTCTCTGAGCCACATGAAGCACCTAAGTAGCGAGGGAACCACCACAGTTAGAATCCAAATGCGTCACCTGCAGAAACAGCAGTTCCTCTGGTAGGTGAGGACAAAAACTACCCTTTAAATGTGGCACTCAAAGACAGCAAGTGGCTGAAACAGTTGGTGACCCTGCAGGAAAAGCCTGTTCAGAAAGATACAGTTGATGTACCAGCTCCACACAAGACCAACTTCACCTACCCCAGAAGAAAGAACCCAATTTCTTATTAAAAAATCTTCATGGAAACCAAAATACTTCCCTCTTTTTTTATTGGAGTTTTCATGCACTTTTTGCATACAAGGGGGAAAAAAAACTATTGTCTGCTAGGAATGAGCAAAGTGTCAGTAAAAGACATTTTCAAACAACGGCTTAGAGTTGTACCTAAGGAGCTGGGTTAAGCAAGCATGAATGTAAGTGACAAAGAATATAAAAGAGGGGATGGTTCCAATGAAGGTTACCAAAGAATTAGCCCGGAAATAACAAGTGTTAGTGGGGACATGGAGAAATTGAAATCCGTACACATCGCTGGTGGGAATTTAAAATGGTACATGTGCTACGGGAAATCAGTTGGCATTTTCTCAAGAAGCTAAACATAGAATTACCATATGACTATGTAATTCTGCTCCAAGATATATGCCAAATTGAAAACAGGTATTCAAACAAGTACTTGAACATAAGTGTTCACAGCAGCACCATTCATAATAGCCCAAAGATGGAAACAAACCAAATATCAACAACAGATGAATGGAGAGACAAATTGTAAGATATATAAATGTATAGAAAGATAGACATAGATATAGATCATTGAATGGAATACTATTCAGTCTTAAAAAAGAATAAAGTGGGGCTAAAACTATAGCTCAGTGGTATAGCACTTGCCTAGCATGTACAAACTCCAGGGTTTTATCCCAAGCACAGCAAAACAAAAAAATTCTTTTTTTTTTTTTTTTTGTAAAAAAGGATGAAGCACTGATACATGCTACAACATGGTGAACCTAAAAATATTATGCTAAGTAAAAGAACCCAGGTACAAAAGGTCACATTATGTATTATTCCATTTATGTGAAATATCAGAAAAGGTAAATCCAGAGATAGAAAGTAGATTGGTGCTTGTCTGAGGCTGAGAGGATGGAAAAACAGTGAGAAGGAGTTACCAGTTGTTGGGTAGAGGGTTTTTACTTTGAGTTAATGAAATGTCTGAGAACTTTACTTTGGGTTAATGAAATGTCTGAATTGGTTACCCAATACTGTGAATATATGAGACGCCACCAAATTGTACACTTGAAAATGCTTGATTTTACCTTATGTGAATTTCAATTCAATAAAAGAAAAAGTGAGGCAGGAAATATGAGCAAGACAATAACAGCATAGGTTTTGAACAGTAAGGGCCCAAGCAATGGCCTTAAAGATGTGAAGAAAAAAAAAAATTCAGAATAAGCCAAAGTTTGGACAGAAGAGGGAGCAAGAAACACACAGAAATATAGAATTTATATTAAAAAAAAAAGTTCAAAAAATACATAGATATTTTTCTAGGTCACATCACTATTCTTCTATTTGGATAAGTTATCTCCTCTAAAAATAGAAGAGAATATATATTGTTTTGTTCTCATTAGTTATACATGACAATAGAATGCACTTTTATGCATCATATATAAATGCAGTATAATTTCTTATTTTTTAGGTTATACATGATGTAGAATCCCACTGATCCTATATTTTTAGAGTCCTCAATACTAAGGAAGAAATATTGACAGATCAGGATTCAGAGCATGAAGACTTGACCCAGAAGATCAGAGCCATGAAGCACTTCTCCCAGCCTCACACAGAAAAGCCAGGACGAGCAGCGGTCCAGGTTTGACAGGCGACTGTGCTTTCTGAGACAAAAGCTCCAGAAGCTCCAACAGTGTTCTCTGTGGTGGTGAGTTTGTTTGGTTGGTTGGTTGCTTGCTTGGGGGTGGGGAGGTTGTTTTGGGTTTTTTCCTCTTGAATCACATAACTAAAATGTTTCCAGATCTATAGCAAATCAGTGTCTACTACTCCCTCCTCAGCTTTTCAGCATTCACAACCAAGGACAAACAAGTTAAAATTAACATCTCTAGAGCAACCATAAACAGAAAAGCCCCTAATATTCATCCTAGTGTCTAAAAAGTTAGCAAAGGGGTGTGTTCCACTTTGGTCCTGGGTAGGGGAATTGGTGATTTAAGAACCAAGTGTGCAACCTGAATGTCACCTGGGGTCACCATCCTTTGAGAGTCAAACCAAAGGGCCTGAACTCCTAACCCAGATGCCTTCTTCCAGATCATTCTTCCTAGCCCTACAGAGCCAACCAGGTCATACTTCTAAACAAAGACCATTCTCTCCTAAAGCCAGCAGTCAAAATTATACATACATAATATATATAACAAAATGATATCTATATAATATATATAACAAAATGATATCTATATAATATATATAACAAAATTATATATATATTTTAACCTAATTGCATAGTCTTGGGATTTCTTTAGAACTTGCAGATGCATTTGAACTTGAACTTGCAGGTGCATTCACTTTTTATCCCTCCTCCCTACACCAGTTACTACTGGGGTCACTTCCTTTCAGAGCCTCCTTAAAACATCAGGGTCTGAGGTAGATGTCCTGCAGATACCTCAATAAGATTATAATGCAGGCATGTGTCAGTCGCAGCCAGCACTAAACCAAAAGCTTCCTGCTCTGAGAGGGCTCCCACAAGCAGAGGGCCAGAGCTGAATACATCACTATTTAATTTTGCTAAAAAGGACCACTTATCTTCATTAAATTTTCAAACATTTAGCTTTTGAAATACAATTTTCTTATTAAATCTGGACTTAGGTCAAAGTTTTAGCCATTAAGTGCAACTTATATAACAAAATGTCATACCAGACAGCCTCTCTCCCCAAATTAATTAATTTAGAATAAAACTGGGATAATGTGAGCTCTGGAATTTGAGTATTCATGTTGAGACCTTGGCATCACTTACCTCTATAGTCTTGGGCAATGTATTTAATCTCCTTGGACCTCAGTTTATTCATCTATAACATAAAATAACAATGAACACCTACCTCTTTTATAAAAAAGTTAAAATGTCTTTTTTACTTATAAAGAAAGTTACCCAGAATAGTTTTAGCAGTACTTGTTAGAAAAAATTAACCCTTCTAAAATTCACCCCCAATGACCCACCTCCTCCTTCACGACCCACCTGCCGACAGTTATCACCCAGTTAGCGCATTCAAACTAGAATGGACGATTAGTTACAGTTATCATAATCTAATCATTGTACCTCTCAATATTCCTGCACTAACATAGGAGCTTTTGGGAGACAAGTCATATATATATTGTTTTGTTCTCATTAGTTATATGTGACAATAGAATACACTTTTATACATCATATATAAATGGAGTATAATTTCTCCAAACCATAACA